CACGACCTGTCGTAAGAAGCCCGAGACCCGGGGTGGTCTCTATCCTCTTTGGGGATACCCCTGAGCTATGCCCGAGAACTGTCCTACCTGGAGTTCTTGTGAGGACATGTTCTGGGCATGGGTGGGGACTCTTAAGTACACACCCACGGAGTTACGGGAACTCCATGAAGATCAGCTGCTGTCCCGCATCCTGGACCAGCGTGATCTTCGTGTGAGGTTTGCCCACTTGATCAGCAAGCGCATGCTGCCAAGGGACATCCTGAAGCGTGCGGCTTCCAGCGCTCGCGATGAGCGCGGGTACGGAGTGTATTCAACGTCCGTACCCCGTTCGGGCAAGAAGCCCCGGACTACTTATGAAGCTGCCGCCGCTTCTGTTATCAGATTGCGACAGCCTTCGGGCAGTCAATCAGGAGCCGCTCAATCGGCTCCCACGAGCTCTCGGAGTGGGCATAACCCCTCCACTTCACGAGGAGCTGTCGCTTACCGCGACGCCGTTGCTCCTGAAGGATCCGCTCCACGTGGAAGTGGACTTCTCCATTCCGGTCAAGCAGGGGCGGAGGTGCCCTCGTACGAGTACGAGTACTCGGCGCCTCCCGAAAGCCACTCTCGTCCGAGTGCTCCGACTGCGGGTCCGACACAGGGCCCTGAGGTTGACCGCCTCCGTCAACGTGTCCTCGTGCCTGAGATTGCACTTGGCCTTGGGACTGGCGGTGATGCTGCCGCCCAGGCCGGGAATCAGGGCGAGCTCGCTCGTCTTGCGGGCCGCCTGGACCTGATGGAGCGAGAGGTCGCGAGCCTGCACCTGCGGGTGGATCGCCGGGCCTCTTCTTCCGATCTGGACGAGGCCTTTCGCATGATCCGATGCATCGAGGATCTGTTGCCACGTCCGGAGCCGCCTGCGGCACACCCCCACACGTACGCGTATGGTGCGTACCCGGCGTACTCAGCGTACTCGGCGTATGGCTCCGGGGTCGTTCGTACGGAGCCCCTCTGGCGTACGGTTATGACCGCAGCTTTGCCGTCCAGACCGAGGCTTGGGCGCCTGATCCGACGCCCTCGTTGACGTCTGTGGCCCGTCCTCGCTTTGAGGAGCTGGACCAAGGTGGGTCTGCGAGTCAGCAACCCCCTGCGGATCAAAGTACCGCTTAAGACGTCCAACATAGAACGTCGGGTGCGTCGTCATTGACTTTGGCAGGTCGATGGTGTACGACACACCATGTCTGGCCAGGACTGCAAATGGTCCGATGAAGCGGTGCTTCGGCCGACAGAGCTGACAGTGTCAAGAGGTAGGTTCCTCGTGTCTAGTAACACTAAGTCCCCCACTTTAAATACACTTAAGCTTCCTCTTCCATGTTTGTCGGAGTACTCCTATTGTTTATCTTGGGCCGCTGCCATGGCATCGCGGACCCTGCTGACAATGCTTCGCTTGGTATCCATAAAGGATTTCACCTGTTCCTGCAGCGAAGCTGGTCTCACATCCGAGACCTGGGTGGGAAGGGCTTTCCGAGCCTCTCCCCCACTTAGAATAGAGGAGTCAGTGTCTCCTCGAAGGGTGAGAGGCACTCTGGGGTGGCGGAAGCCGCTCAAGTAGAACGGCGTGAGCCCCGTGGACGCGTGCACCGCGTTGCTGAGCGCAAACTCAACAACTAGAAGCTACGTCGACTACGTACGTGGTGCTGCCGCGCACACACTGCGCAGAGTGTCTTCGAGCACTCGATTGACACGCTCTGTTTGGCCGTCTGTCTGCGGATGATCCGCAGTGGACATCTGCAGACGAGTTCCCAGTAAAGGGAACAGCGTTTTCCAAAACGCAGCAGTGAACCGCGGGTCTCGGTCCGAGACAATCGTCTCCGGGAGACCGTGATAGCGGAACACGCCATCGACGAAAAACCTTGCGGTTTGTTCGCCCGTAACAGTGACGGGAGCCGGAGCAAGATGTACCATCTGGCTCAGCCGACACACGAACACCAAAATTCCGGTGTTGCCGTGTCCGTCGGCGGGAAGCCCAAAGATGAAGTCAAGACCCATCGAGGTACGGGCAGGCTCCGTAGTGGAGCCGAAGAGTGCCCTGCGGGTTTGACCCGCTGACATGTTTCGCATGTCTTAACGTACCAGGCGACCCTCTGGTACATGTGGGTCCACCAGAAGGACTGAGAGACCGACAGAAAGGTTTTCTCGCGGCCCAAGTGGCCGCTGGAGGGCGCGTCATGCGCCTCCGCGAGGATATCGAACTTCAGATCCTCGTCGTTGGGTACGACCACCCGTGGAGGATCCGTGGGCTCCACCCGGTAATAGAGGAGGCCATCCTTCAGCTCATAACGGTGGAGCCGTGAGCGCTGTCGCGACGAGAGCCAGTCGGACTTCGCGCTCGTTCCGGCCGTGAGGAACTTGCCGATAGGCGCGACAGCCTCATCGTCCCGATACGCCATGCGTATCCGATCATATAGATCCGTTGTCACCCGCGTGATGTGGGCCAACTCATAGTCAGGACGCCGAGAGAGGGCGTCCGCAAGCACGTTGAGCTTGCCTGGCTTGTATTCGACGCGGAAGTTGTACTCCGCGGAAAAGGACCGCCACCTCGCCATCCT